CGACCGCACAGACCCGAAGTAAAGCAATAAGGTGAGCCTGCACAAGTTTCACCACTAACATGAAACAAGTAGGCCTTATTGATTGAGCCAAAATCTACAAATGGGGTCCCCCGCACCTATTGAAACATAAGTGACATGAACTACACATTGTATCACCAAAGGGCCAAAATAGACCTAAGAAAAGTATTCAAAATAATCTCCATTATAAAACAAACATATGCGAACCCTATATTGAGATTAAAATGCCTTAGAAAGCACCAAAATGTATGGTTGATAGCTAAAACAAAATCAAGTTATTAATGAATGTCAATAAACTAAATTTTACTGATAAAAGGGGCCTTAAAATCATGTGGCGTGATTTATAACAAGAAACAGGCTCATACTTTCATCAAATTCATGTCAATGCAAACACCTCCATGAGGTGATAATGTATGACCCTCGAGTGATGTGGCTCCACCATAGGGACATGCTCATCAAATTAAACCAGAAAATAAATTATAAAAAAAATAAAAGAAAAGTTCAAATAAATAAGCCAGTTGTCAAAATTATTTATAGTGAATATGTATATGTTAAGTAAAAACAACCATTATATTTGGTTCTTTTCTGCATTTCAAATTTGGATTTTCATGCCTAATGAATGGATACAAATAATTATCAGTTTGAACAATCCAATAGCCAAAAACTCAAATGCGTAAAAGAAGAGTTACCCATTCACATTATATATTAGCAACTGAAAAACAATAAGAACCAATTGAAAGAAAAAGAGAAAAATCAGACAACCCTCAAAAGCAAGGAGCTTAGACCTTATACTTGTTACAAGATTTGACTATCTTGGACACTTCCTCTGCATTCCTACTTGCACAAACTACAGTTAAGGTGCATTTTGGAGAGAAAACTAGGATACACTACACAATGTACTACTGAGCAGACCACAAAAAAAACGGAGAAAAGGACTACTAAAATAGCTTGATGAACCATCTTTACAATAGACAGTCTTATCCCGTATCTCATATTTGTGATAACAACCAAACTAACACCAAGGACTGCATGTGTTATTTCAAGTTAGATGAAAATTCTGTGGATATCATGAAATGTTGAAGTAATAGCCTATGAATCAATAATGAACAAATTCAAGACACAAGTCAAATCTATGTCCACTATCAATAGCTAAAATAGGAACTGCATCATACATAGATTTTCTCAAAAGTAGATGAAAATAGAAGCAACATATCAATTATGAGCATTCAATGAACAAATAAAATGTCGTGTTATTGAATGCACGAGCTCATGGTGTAAACTGGGACCAACACAACAAAAATGGAAAATAACGAAAATAAATACAAGTGCCGAATTATAAAAATAAACAAAATTATAGTTTCCAAGTTAAAAAAAGCCCAATCTCACCTTGGAAAAACTGCCACATCAGGGATATTCATTGCTTTGTGGAAGCTATTTTGTGGTTTCCCATGGAAGTACCTCTCATCAAAATCCATTGTCATATTATCCTGCATAATGAAATGTGTCCATTCCCAACAGAATATTAAACATCTACTAAAGCACTTTATATTTCAATTCAAAAGTAATAAAAATAATAAAAATAATCAATGCTATTTTGATTGCTGAGGATTGTAGAAAATTACAAGAATAATCATTTGTGAAGTAAATATGGCAAATTCTCAATAGAATATGACAAAGTAAACAGACAATTCATCATTAGATTTACAAATTATCCACGAAAATCAAAACCCTTGTAACTAGCTCCCCTTAACACGTAATTCATCATTAGATTACAGATTCTCAGCCACAAAATTGAAAAAGAAAATTCAGAAAAATCAAAACCCTTGTAACTAGCTTCCTTACATATCATCAACTGAGATGAAGAATGAAGCTGAGAACAAATCACGGTTGTGCGGCCAAGAATTTCAACACTAGGAAATTTCCGAACAAGGGCATTCTTCTGAGCCATCTTCCTTAGGAGGACTGGGATCAACTTAACAAATCTGACCAAATTTGTCAAAAGTAATTCATACCACAATGTTAGATTAAAAAACAAAATTAGAAAAATGGAGAAAGATGAGTGAAATTCATCAACAACACATGCTTGAACTCAATAATGACAATAATAAATAAATAAATAATGAAAACCGAACTTTGTAGCAGTATTTTCAAATTACAAGAAGAAGAAGAAGAAAAACGTCAAAACTAACCTGTTAGAGCTGCAAGTCGAAGCTATGTTGAAGAAGAAGAAGAATCGAAGCTCTGTTCAAGAATAAAAGTCGCAACTTCTGTTTACCCTAAACCGATTGATGTCGAACAACTTTAGGGCTATGCGAGAAAAACATAGATAGATATTAGATAGCTTCAAAGATTCATTCACCCAAAAAAAAAAAAAGCTTCAAAGATTCAGAAAATAGTTTCAAAGATTCAGAAAATAGCTTCAAAGTGTTGAGGCATTGGCTTCAATTTCCTTATGCCTCATCACGAATTACCTCAAATTTGGACAAAGAGGACTGAGAAGAGGCACTGCGATACAAAGAATGATGTAATTACATACCTGACAAAGGAAAAAAAGGAGGCGGATGGAAGTAATAGTAGCCGACGGAAGCACTGGTCGCCGACGAACTTCAGTCGATGATGGAGAAAATGGTTATGCTATTCTCCATGTGTCTCTTCATTTTTATTTCTTTTAATTTTGATAGTGCTGGTGTTGTTTTGGATTTTTTATTTTTTTGGAGGGTTAATTTGCCGCTAAATTTTTCATTTTAACGCTCAAAATTTTTATTCTGGCACTATTATTATTATTATTATTATTATTATTATTATTATTATTATTATGAATGTGTGATTAAAAAATATATATATAATCACACTTGTTTAAAAAGTGTGATTAAAAAGTAGAGGTGTATATATAATCACACTTTAATTAGAATGTGTGATTAAAAAATATATATATAATCACACTTGTTTAAAAAGTGTGATTAAAAAGTAGAGGTGTATATATAATCACACTTTAATTAGAATGTGTGATTAAAAAATATATATATAATCACACTTGTTTAAAAAGTGTGATTAAAAAGTAGAGGTGTATATATAATCACACTTTAATTAGAATGTGTGATTAAAAAATATATATATAATCACACTTGTTTAAAAAGTGTGATTAAAAAGTAGAGGTGTATATATAATCACACTTTAATTAGAATGTGTGATTAAAAAATATATATATAATCACACTTGTTTAAAAAGTGTGATTAAAAAGTAGAGGTGTATATATAATCACACTTTAATTAGAATGTGTGATTAAAAAATATATATATAATCACACTTGTTTAAAAAGTGTGATTAAAAAGTAGAGGTGTATATATAATCACACTTTAATTAGAATGTGTGATTAAAAAATATATATATAATCACACTTGTTTAAAAAGTGTGATTAAAAAGTAGAGGTGTATATATAATCACACTTTAATTAGAATGTGTGATTAAAAAATATATATATAATCACACTTGTTTAAAAAGTGTGATTAAAAAGTAGTAGTGTATATATAATCACACTTTAATTAGAAGGTGTGATTAAAAATATATATATATAATCACACTTAATTGAAAAGTGACATAAAAAATAAATATTATCACACTCAATCAAATTAAGTGTGATTAAAATATCAATCTAATTTTTTTTTATTACACTTTCAATAAAAGTGAGATATTTTTTTTTTTTGTCAAAGTGTGATCTTTAACTATTTTTGTAATAGTGATATAATCACACTTTAATTAGAAGGTGTGATTAAAAAAATGTATATATAATCACACTTAATTGAAAAAGTGACATAAAAAATAAATATTATCACACTCAATCAAATTAAGTGTGATTAAAATATCAATCTAATTTTTTTTATCACACTTTCAATGAAAGTGAGATCTTTTTTTTTGTCAAAGTGTAGTCTTTAACTATTTTTATAGTAGTGCCGATTAAATATTTGTGATCAGCACGATTTTTAGAGTCTAGTATAAAGTTTTGTAAAAATCTGATTCAGAATGAATTAAATTGATTTTATTAAATATTATATCTTCTATTTATATATATAAGTATATGGGCCTTAGTTGAGATAGGCTCTAACAAAAGAAAGAAAAAGAAAAATCTGGAGAGAAGAGAGAGAAGCAAGAGAAAAGAAAGAAAAAGCTCAAAATTGAAGAAGAAACATGGGAAAATTGAAGGAATTGTAAGGGAATTCAAGAATTCACTATAACAAATCACATTTTTAGCGACTAAATTTTTATTTTCAAAAGTCATTTTTTAGTCGCCAAAAATTTTTGCCGACTAAATTTTTTGGTTGCCCGTTTGGTCGTTAACTAATTGTCAGCAAAAGAATTGGTGACTATTTTTTTTTTAGTCGCCGAAAGTCACCAATTGGCGACTAAAAATTTAGTTGCCCAAAAAAAAAATTTTTTTTTTATCAACAAAATGAAACTTTATTGATGAAGAAAGCAATACATGCAAAAACTTACATCAACAAATAGGGAAGTGCAAAGAGCATCAACGCTAATCTTAACAATCCCAACTAGGTTGGCACCACTAAGGAAGTACAATCATTTGCAAGCACTTAACCCAAAAATTTGTGAGAAACCAATCAAGAGGAACCAAAAAAGACAAGAAAAGCAAATAAAACAGAACAACAACACCAGCAAAAGCTGCACAGACCAATAAGCCATCATACACCATAAGAAACAGGTTAAGCATACAGCAGTAGCTGCACAAAATCAACAGCATACGCCGTAGCAAACACCAACAGCAAACACCAGTAGCATACACCAGTAGCATAGAGCAGCAGCATACTCTAGCAGCACAAAAATCTTTGAGCAGAGCAGACCTTACTCTCTTCAGAAGAAAAACCAGTAGCATACTACAACAGCATAGACCAGTAGACCTTTGAGCAACACTATGAGTAGACCTTACACTAGATCTTGAGCAGGCCTTAGACACAACCCTTTACCATGCCAATCAAACAGCCCAAGCCAATCCATTGAACAACAGCATACAGACCTTGCACCAAGCCACTAACATCAGACCATACAGCAACAAACCTTACTTCACAACAGCAGACCCTACTCCACAGCAGCTATGCAGACTTCAGAAGAGCATCATACAACACCAGCAGCAACAAATAGCAAACAGCCAATCTTCAATCCAATCAGCAAAACATAACAAACCAGAAGCCTTGCTGAGCAGAGCATCTGTTAGCAGTAGAGTACAGATCAGTGACCCTATGGCCAATCATCTGTTGCATGCCACCAAACTTGAGCCAATTCATTCAACCTTCATTTCTGATACAAAGACTTGTCTCCACAGAAGCATACCAATGTCTACACACAGAAGTATACCACATCAGATCATACACCAGCAGCAGACTTGTCTCCACAGCAGCCAAATCTTTTAGCAGATCTTAGACACATTCCTTTACCTGATCACGGTTGTTGATAAAGTCATCAACATAGTATATATTCCTTTTCATGGAAACTTTAATCCACAAGGCAAATCTAACTTTAATAAGCTCACAAAGATCAGTTCCACGAGGCTGCACTCTATTAAATACACAATCATTCCTTAGCTTCCAAATGGACCAAAGAACAAATAAAGGTAAAGCCCTCTATAATCTCCTAACCTTTTTCTTATACTTGCCACCTAACCACTAATAAAACAAACAATCAATAGACCCAGGCACCACCCACGGACACCACCACCATTGTAGCAGATTTGTCCAAAATTTCCAAGAAAAATGACAATGTAGCAGCACATATACAGCAAATTCATTCTCAATTTTAGAAAAAGCACATAATATTGAAGCACTACTATTAAGAATACCAATATGCTGTAAAAAGTCTCCAATTTTTACTCTATTCCTCCAAGCTAGCCAACCAAAAAATTGGATTTTATGGGGTAAAACAGTATTCCGCACAAACTTGCTTAATGACAGATGAGGACCTAAGAGAGAGTCATTGAACTGATACAAAACAGATGCCTTATGGTTGCCACATGCTGACCCAATCCATATAGAACAGTCCTCCACATTGAGTCGTAAAGAAGGGGCATCCTTTAAAGCAACAACCAATCTGTTTACTTCAATCTTTTCCCAATCATAAAGATTTCTCCTGAAAGCTAGATTTCACTCCTCTAAACTGGATCTCTTGTCATAGAAACTAAAAAGTGATCCTCCTTTATCAACAGACAAACTAAAAAGTCTAGGAAACTAATCTTTTAAACATCTACTTCCAAGCCAACAATCATGCCAAAATTTGACCCTTCTTCCATTCCCAACCCTTAACTGGAGCTTCTCTACATAGGACTCCACTAATGATTGATTATGCTCTGCCACTGTGATAATATTAGTCCAAACTCTAGAATGTCTAGAAGATAAACTTATAGGTGGGGTCCAACTACCCTCCCCAATCATGTATTTACTATACAACAACCTTCTCCATAAAGCATTTACTTCCTTCCCAAATTTCCACCACCATTTACATCCTTGATTCTTCTAATACCGAGACCTCCCTGATCCCTACTTTTTGGCACATCAGTCCATTTTACCAGTGTACTTTCCTCTTTAGATCATTTCCCCTCCAAAGGAAAGCAGCTTGAAGCCTTTCAATCTCTCTAACAACTCCAATGGGCATTCTGAACATAGATAGATAGTATATAGGTAAGCTAGACAGGACAGACTTGATCAACGTTAACCTGCCTTCCAACCAGCCAACCTAGCTCTAACTTTATCCAACACTGGCTTCCCAGTTGATTTCCTACCTGGATTAGCACCTAATGGAAGGCTCAAAAATTTCAATGGTAAGCCTTGAATCTTGCAATTTAGAATATCAGCACAAGATGTCAAGGTATCATCATCCATACCTACTCCATACACTACACTCTTATGAAAGTTTATCTTCATTCCAGATAGTATTTCAAAACATCTTAGAACTCTCTTAATATGAACTAGTTGATCCAAATCAGTCTCACAAAACAACAAAGAATCATCAGCAAATTGGAGATGAGAAATCATCACTTCATTCACCCCAACTTTTATCCCCTTTATGAATCCTTTTTCATAAGTTCTGTTTATCAAGATATTCAACCCTTCAGCCACTATAATGAATTAAAAAAGGTGATAAAGAGTCACCTTGTTTAAGGCCCTTTTGTGGTGAAAATTCAGCTGTTGGTGAACCATTCACCAGAACAGACAACTATGCTGCGGACACACAAACCCTCATCCAAGATATCCATTCTGACCCAAACCCAAAATTAGCCAGCATAGAAAATAGGAATTTCCAGTTAATTAAGTCATAAGCTTTCTCAAAATCAAGTTTAATAACCAGCCCTTTCTTTTTGGATTTTTTCCATCCATCCACAATTTCATTTGCAATAAAAACTCCATCAAGTATACTTCTCCCACCTAAAAAAGCAGACTGTGGATCCCCAATAACTTCAGGGAGAACTCTCTTAAGTCTATGAGCAAAGACTTTTGAGAGAATCTTGTACATACACCCCACCAAACTAATAGGTCTAAAGTCAGCTAGTCCAAAAGGATTATCAGTCTTAGGAATAAGAGTGATAAAAGAACTATTGATTCCATAGGAGAGCTTGCAAGAAGAATGAAAATCCCTTATGAAGTGCATAACCTCATGTTTCAATAGCTTCCAAAATTTTTGAAAAAAATAGGAGATTAAATCCATCAGGGCCTGGAGCCTTATTTCCATCACAGTCCTTTATTGCTGCACTTACCTCACATACAGAGAAGTCAGCTTCCAACTCACAAAAAGCATCAATGGCTTCAATTGACTTAAAGGTGTCTCCCAGAGTTAGTCTACCTTCCCAGCTTTCAGTGAACTGCCTCTTGAAATGATTTAAGACCTTAAGTTTTACAATATCTGGCTCCTCAAAAACTTCTCATTCAACTGTGATAGAATTAATTGAGTTTCTATTCCTTCTGCTACTAGCCATAACATGGAAAAACCTAAAGTTCCTGTCCCCATTGATGATCCAGTTTACTCTAGACTTTTGATGCCAAAGCCTTTCCATCATTCTACTAAGCTTCCATACCTCCCTTGTCACCTCCCACCTTCAGGTTTTTTCAGCTTCAGATAAAGCTCTGTCTTCAGCAATAATGTTAATACCATGCAACTCTTCCTCTGCCTCTTTTAGTTTTGTAGATACATTCCCCAAAACTTTGAAGTTCCATTTTTTAGCTCCAACTTAAGCAGTTTTAGCTTCTGAATCAGTATATACCCAGCTCTCCCAGTAATCCTAGTTTCAGACCAAATTTTTTCCAAAACAGAGTTGAAACTTGGATGCATAGTCCATGCATTAATGAACCTAAAAGGCCTTGGCCCCCAGACCCTCTCATCTTCCATTAACAAGAGATTGCAATGATCAGAACAAGTCCTAGGAAGACCCTAGAATTTGAAATTAAATTTTTGCAACCACTTAGGATTTAGTACAACCCTATCAATCCAACTCCATTTCTCCCCCTCCTGACCATTACACCATGTGTACTTCCTACCAAGCAATGGTAAGTCGTTTAACTCACATTTTTCAATGAAAGCATTTATTCCTTCATCCCCTTTTCCCTTGTAGAGCAGCCCACCCTTTCTCTAATAAATCTGATCTCATTAAAATCTCCCCCTAAGCACCATGGTTTTGGAAAATTAGCCTTTAATTTTAACAAATTCTCCCAAAAAATACCTCTACTGCTCACATCATTTGGTGCATATACATTCAGTATAGCACAATCAAATGAGTTTAGTATTGTACCTGACAAGAGAACAAATCTTCAACTACTACAACAGTCCTTCAGCTGAAATAAACTTGGATCCCAAATGCAAAGTAATCCCCCAGCTGTCCTATCTGAATCCACTACCATAAATTCCATGTTACTCCTACTCCACAAGGTTCGAACTTCACTTTCTGAAATAGAAGCTTTCTTAGTTTCCTACAATAAAACAAAATCAACCCTCCTTTCATAAATGAGCTTCCTAATCCTTCCCCTCTTCTCAAATTTCCCTAAACCTCTGATATTCAATGACATCATCTTCACCAGAAACCAAATAATTCACCAAATTTCCCTAGTTGAGACATGAGACCCCCTATGCGATCTTCCTCTCCTGTCTTCTTCCTCTGTCAATTAATTCAAGCTCAACCAGCTTCTCCAAAACTTCATTATCTCTGCCACTGTAGTTGATTCCCAGAACTTTGCCCAGTTGAAGATTGGCTTGTGCTTCACTAAGAATATGTCGCCCTTTGATTGAACCACTCTTAGTTGAAGCAGAGAGTGATAAAGCTGCTACTGCAGCCCTGAATACTGCACACTTAGGGATGGGTTGTCTTGATGAGACACCTTTTTGTCCATAGAGTCGAGCTAACTTTTTGTAACCAACCTCCTCTGTATTAGGCTTGACTACACCATACCCTCTCACTTTCTTCTTGCCTTTCCTTTCCAACCTCTTTACTCCATTTGAGCTTCCATTAATAGTATTTTGGCTTGGTTGCACCATAGGCCCACTTTTCCTTATGACAGCCCATTTAGATTTATTTGAGGAAAATATAGATGTGCCCACCCTTTCTTCACTTGATCTATTTGGAGAACCTGGTCCATGGACAAGGCCCAAATTTACTTCTAGGCTGATACCAGGCCTATACCCAACTGACCCACTAACACTCTGCATAAATCCAGGTGTAAATAAATGCTCATCAACCCTCTAGTTAATATTATTGCCCTATAGGCCACGCTCTGCCAACTCCATTAAAGTTCTATCCATGCGTGCCTCAACCCCCAATATGTTTCCCACGCCATATTGAGTCTCTTCAACTACTGTGTCCACGTGGGCACCTTTACAGGCTAGCTCCAGCCCACCTCTTGGTGCCACTGCTACAGAATTTGCCAGATCATCATCATCTTCCATAGCCTCTTTTGCCATGTCATCCCCTTCATTTCTACCACTACACACACCAACTACTTCATTAACCACTCCATTCGAGCTATGGACGTCCTCAACCTCACTGAGCATTATGCATCCACTGTCCAGGACACTAACTGGTTGCTCTTCACAAACCATGACTGGATAAAATCTTCCTTTGCATTCCAGCTTAATGGTTTTATTGATGAAGTCCATACACCAAATTACAATTCTGACTCTTCTGTAACTGAATGACTTTGGTTGGCAAATATCACTTTCTAATCGAAGAACACGTCCCCAAAAGTTGCCAATCTTATTAAAAGTTTTCTATTCCACAAATTTAAAGGAACCCCATAACATTTGAGCCATAGACACGTCTATTGCTCTGCACATGATCCTGGTTCCCACTCTTTGACATATTTGCACCAATCCCTGAACCATTTCCTGACCATTGATACTTTTGCATTCATTTCTTCTTTTGATTGAAAGGTTACCACAACGTCTTTACCTCCTCCATTTCTGACCATTACATCCCTAACTCCTTTCTCCTTTAAAATCTTCTCAATACCATGTATAGAATACTCCTCTTTGAATCTCAAAATCACACTCTCATAAAGCCAACCATGACCTACTTCGTCCACCATAATAGTATTCTCAACGTTTCCTACAGGCACTCTTGCATCTGTTTTTAGGATTTTAGCATATGACTTCTGGAGACCATGTTGACTTCGAACTTTTCTTCCACCAGCTTCGTTTGTACCTTTGCCCCCCAGTAGACTGGTTCTATTCTGAGCTCCTTCCTTGAATCTATCATACTCTACATTTTAACTTTAATCTCCCTGTCCTCTACCCATACACCATTTGCTTTATCAACAATAACATTTGCAGCAACTGAGCAGTCGTACTTAACAAAGCCAAATCTGGTATTTGTGACTTTCCTCCTCTTCTGAGGGATGAAGACATCTTTAACTATTCTAAACTTTGTAAATAATTTGAACAAGGTTTTGAGATCCATATTAAAAGGCAGATTATCCACAAACACACAGAATAATTCATTCATTGGCTCCTTGCTCCATGCTTCTTTCCCTTTTTCTTTGCTTCATGACTGGGATCCATCCTCCTTGCTCCATTTGCCTCTGAACAGCTTCTTCAATCAGAGGCAAAATCCAAAAGAAAATATTTTCATCTTTAGTTTTTCAGCTACCAATATTTTAGTCGCTAAAAACGTGGTACTCCTTGGCTACCAATTTTTAAGTCGCAAAAAACTTTCAATTTTTTTTTTGATACTAACTGTTTAGTCGCCAATAAATTCTGCTTTTATTTTTTAGCTACTAAATGTTTAGTCACCAAAAGCTCTATTTATTATTATTATTTTAAAATGCACAAATTGAATATTTTTCATTAATGTCTAAATTATATGTATTCCATTATCAATGCAACATGCAACCTGTACATATACAGAATAATGCATCTATCAATTATAATCTAAATCCATTAACGATAATACTTATTTCATTGTCAACTATCCAAAAACTTGAATAACATCATATTCCAAATATCATATAAATGCATACCAACCAAGTGTAATCCATCTAAATTAAATATTACATACAAAAACACTAGATTTCCAAAATAAAGGATTGTACAAAAATAAAGGTCTGCCATATACAAAACAAATGTTCTTCGTACATAAAAATAAATATCCACAATAGCCCACGCAAAAGCAATCTGTAAAAATAAAAAAATTAAAAAAAAAATCATTAGTACTTATTCAATAAAATTGACATTCCAAATTATAACAATTATAAAATTAATAATTCTGATATATTATATTCTGCAAATATAACAATTATAAAATTAATAATTTCTTGCTGTGAAAGAAGGGAAAGTGGTGAGAACAGTAAAAAAATTTAAGGCATACAGGTAATTTTTCAACAATAAAGAGCATATAAACTCAGAATGCTGTTGTACAACAAGAATGATGGCCAACATTAAATAGAAATGGAAATGAATTATGAAGCTTACTTGGAATCAATCCATCAAAATAAAATGATGTAGGAATAGAAAGACAAGTAGTAGTAAGAAATGCATCTACGAGAAATAAAACCTGTTGCCAATCGAGAACCAAATAAGAAAATGTTGTCTGAAATGGTTCATCTCAGTTATGCTCATTGGAGATGAACAAGAAGGAAGAGTGATTTCATTCAAATTTAAGTCACAAGGTCAAGAGCAAAGAAGATTGACGACAAGGTAATGCAAAACATGGCGATCAAGAAGTGGAAGATAATATGGCTCCCTACATAGCTACATGTAAAATAGGATACATGTACTTAAACCTCAAGTAATTGGGATTTGCTTTCTCAAGTTGACATCAGAGGGAAAAAAAAGTTCAAAAAAATTCTCTATATCTCCAAATCAAATTTTCTTTAAGAGTTACAGCTTCAGCACACAGGCCATGCCAACTCTCAAAAGGGAAAGAACAAAAGGCATGCATATATTGTACTATTTCAAAGTACAATTTGGAAAGAAGGGTTATCATATAATATAAGCAACCAACACTAACATATTCTTGATTTTCATCTCAAAACCTAGCTGAAGAAAATTCATTTTGTGCCATTACTTTGCAAATGTGCAAGATCTGTGAATCACAATGTTTTATCTCTATGACATTGTAATCAAATTAAACATGTTAACTTCTAACAAATTGTGTCATTATAAATTATTAAAAAAAGGTAATTCCTACTCCTTCAAAGAAATTCTGGCTTTAAACTATCCAACATATCTTAGTTTAAGGTATTTCTAGCATCTCAATTGATAGATTAGTCAAACAATGGAACTACTCCAAATGACTACTAGCACCAATATATATAGAATATTGATAAAAATGTACTACTTAAAATTATGGTGATTGAATCATGCTTACTAAGTTGTCTAGCATCTATTACCCATGCATGTATGTGTCCATAAGGGATGGTCCATTAGATGCCTATGGAAGTATGACGTCTATTAGGGTTTCCCAATCAGTTTATATGCTAATTAATACTCTCAAAAAGTAAAAGTTGATGAATTGGACAAAAATAAACAATAGTATGGTAGAGCAAATAGGAATTTGAGTAATATTCAAAACCATTAAATCCTGGGGAAAAACTAAAATGAAAAGGAAATGAAAGCAATAACAATAAATTACCCAAAATATCAATAGTTGATGCATATAATGATTTGAACATACAATTTTCAGTTGCTGCCACATGTATTCATTCTGGTATACCAGATGCGAAACCTGTTTCTGAAGGCAATCATGCTCTTCCTGAATGTGGGTAGCCTCTTTCTTCTGCTTCTCACAGCACCTTAAAAAAAGGAAAGAAAAGAAAAATTTAGTCTTTCTTTCAATTTCACTACTAGTCTTTAAATTCTGACAAGACAAAACATGAATGGAACTCTCAAAATCAAAGTACCAGAACAATGGTAAGCAAAACTTGCTCGGTATGAGGATTGTGTGCAAGGATAGACTTAATGAGCCAATATCCATGCTCAAGTGGCTGGCTCTCAGACAACCAAAATCCAACACCCTAAATTATAATATTTAATTAATAATAAGCATAGTTTGGGGAAATTTTTTTCAGAGTTGGTACTCTATTGTTGAGGGCCTTGGACAAATTCAAAATCCATGGAAAAGAACCAACAAATGTTCCTTTGTATGAATCAAACAAGAATGAACATCTTTAAACACCATTGTTGAATTCTACAAACCAGGTTTTCAATTGACATTAATTGCACATAAAAACCATGAATCTATTACTTCTCTTTCCTGAAAGTATGAAAGAATTTAAAGCTGCAGCAAATCAAGTAGACAAAGATTTATAAATCAACATAGACACAACAATATCAAGCATATATATATATATATATTAAAAAAAGAACTGATAAATTGTTTCTCACAAAATTTCTTTGCCTGTCAAAGGCTAGTAAACCAACATGTGGGAATCAACTTCAATAACACAAAAACAACAAAAACAGAGCTAATCACCATATCCAACTAAAATACTACACTTGCGGTTTTGAAACCATAACATAAACAGAGCTAATCACCATATCCAATTTTCCCTAAATTCTTATTCAAATGTAAATCATAATCTAAATTCTAATTCACACCCAATTAACTATATGACTAAAAAAAATCCAAAAACTAAGACTCAAAATTTACCCAAAATTCTTACGTGCACGGTCAGCGATAAGACGACCTCAGATGATGATGATAATGGGGAAAAGAAACTAGTGGCCTCATCATTCTTTGTGAGGGAGGAGCCGCTGATCGAGCTTCCGTGGGTGATGGATCTCAAGCGACGGTGATGAACAAGGAGGTGAATCGGTGCTCCAGTTGCCAGCGAACGCGAGGAGGAGCGGCGGAGGAGAGCTGTTCCATGGTTGGTGGAGCGACGATGAGAGGAGAGAAGAGGAGCAGCGGAGAGGGAGAGGGAGAGGGAGAGGGAGAGGGGCGCTAGTTTGTTTAGGATTTGGTTTGAAACAAAATACTATATGAGCGGCCATTTTACACCATCCAAATATTTTGCTCGCCAATTAATTTTATAAATTTTTCTAAAATTTGAAATATCTCTCTTTAAATATTTTAATTTTTTAGTGATTAAAATATTTTTTAATCATTGAAAATAAATTTTTGGCCACTAAATTTTTAGTCGTCAAAGATAAAAAATAATTTTTTATTTTACATTCGGCGACTAAATGGTTTTAATAGCCAAAACTCAATGTATGACGTCTCAAATATTTTTTTGTCGCTGAAAATATATTTTTGGCGACCAAACTTTTGGTTACCAAAGATTAAAAAAAATATATATATTTTACATTCGGCGAATAAATGGTTTTAGTAGTCAAAACTCAATATACGGTGACTAAAATTTTTTTTGTCGCTGAAATAATTTTTTATTTTACATTCGGCGACTAAATGGTTTTAGTAGCCAAAATTCAATATACAGCAACTAAAATATTTTTTTGTCGCAAATTTTGGAATTTTTAATGACTAAATTCTGTTTTAGTCACCAATAATCAATATACCCATACTAAAAAAAAATTAGTAGCTAAATATTGTACTTTTACCGACTAAAAAAATTTTTGATCGTTAATTTCACAACTTTTGAGGACTAATTTTTTTTTAGTAACCAATTTTGGTCGCCAAAGGTGCATTTTGTTGTAGTAATTTAATTCAAGGTATGTGAAAATCAACTAAAACTCTTGGTATACCTCTTCAATTGTGTAAAATTAAGACTTAAATTAGGGATTTCACACTCAAATGTGTTAGGGTTTGTAACTCACAAGCTTGAGCAAATTATACTCTTAAAATTAAACATGGATTTCTTGCACTTGTTAAATTTGAGAGTTAATTCCCTTATATTTGCTTATCTTGAAGTTGATTGTGAGAAGTTGAGTCTTCTTGAGGTTTTGTATGGTTTGAACTCATAAAATTATATATGAAATGAAGATCTATGTGAATTTGGAAGAAGTTTTGAAAAAGAACTAAACAAGGATTTTGATCTTTCTTGCTTGAAGATTCATTGTATTTTTGATGTTTTGATTTAGAAAAAAAAATCATAATATCATGTTTTCTATTAGTTTTACATGTTTTTGAGTGATTTGAGTTGAAACCTAGCTTGGAAAATGGAAGAACAAGTGATAGAACCAACAGATATTTTCGGCAGCAGAATTTTGCCTAGAGCCGCACGTGCAGTGGGGCTTCCCACACATGCGAAAGTCTAATTCTAGAAACTATTTTGCTTCTGAAATAATTGCACATGCCCCCGCACGTGCCTTGGCTTTCCCGTACGTGCAGTTTTGGACCCGCACGTACAGAACTCCCCTATTTCAGCTCAACTTCTAATAGACATATCTCCCTCATTCGAGCTCCGTTTTAAGTGATTCTTGAGCCTAAATTCAAGCCCCAAAAGTCTAGTTTCTAATGATGGTGGTTTCGCATCCAAATTTTAATTACACAAATAGATATGTTCAAATTAGTGAAGGATGTTCACTTTCTTTCTAACCATTTCATGCTATTTCCTCTCCTAACCCAGTTTTCTTTCATTTCTTCCTATTTTCCTAGACACGGATTATGACCCATTGAAGACTAATGAGTTTAGAACCAACAAAAATAATTGGTTAAGGCAAAGTAAGAGATCATTTTATTTGATTAAGAAAAGATTAAGAGAAATAAATTTGATCGAGAAAGTAATATTATGTTTCGATATGTTGTGCTATGTGCATTGTGATTGCAGGTCAAGATTTGAGGACCGGTCAACCATTTTTGGAAATCACTGAGTAATACCTCTATAAAGATATGTTCTATTTATTTATTTAACTATTCATAATTGTTATATTTTCTAAAGATTGTATTTATTTGACATGAGTGAATTTCATGAACTAAATTGTTATGTGAATGTGGGCCTAAGGCCCTTCTACTATATATTGGGCCTGAGGCCGCTATGTTTGATATGGATCGCTTAGGAATTATGGGCCTAAGGCCATTCCGTTCTATGTGACAGATGGAGACATGCCGATGTTCTATCTACTTTATGGTATATGAAATGGACCCAAGGTCGTTTTGTTTATGTTATGCATGATGAAACTACGACAGTTATGTCTAATATGGATTACTTGGCCCTAAGGCCGAGGGAGATTGAGACATGTCGATGTCCTATCTACCCTATGATGTTCAGAACAACTATTAATATGTTGAGCCCAAGGCCGTTCCGTAATATGTTGGGCCCGAGGCCGTTCTGTAAGTGTGAATATGGATGTTTGTAAATTGTCATACGACTCATGTTTATGAAATTTTATTTTATATGAATGAATGGATGTCCCTTTTTGAAATGTAATCCTGACCCTTTGCTTGACCCTTGTGGTCCCTTTGATACGCCTTCGGGCTCTTTGTATATGAATGGATTTTGATACGATAAGTGTTTGTTATGAAAATGATACTTGGAAATAATCTAAGATATGTATTTCGCAATTGTAAGTCATGTTTACATAATGTGGTGGACACCATTCATTAACCTCTTTATTTTGGTATTACTCACTGGGCTCTAGCTCACCATTTTTTTTTATTTTATTTATATATATATGTATGTAGGTGAGCAATCGATGGATCAACATTAGAGTTTATCCCAGAGTCCGCCTCTCCGTCAAGCCACCCATGAAGTGCCTTCATGTAGAGGCGTAGTGTTATTTCGCCAAGCCTAGTTTTGTTTGAAGTCTTTCATATAGTGTGTGAGATCTGTATAAGCCCTGTCATTGTATATGTAAATATGGAAAGTGTAGTTAAACGGTTTAATTATTTTAGGTCACCATGTATGCACAGCTCAATGGACATTTATTATTTTTGTTCTATTCCTGCTTAAAGCCCTGTTATTACATAAGAATTTTTGGAATTTTGTCTCTGAGGCCTAAGTGCACGCCAGTCATGACCTAAACTTTTAGGGGCGGGTTTGGGTCGTGACAAGTAATGATATTGTTTGTGTCAAAAATGACCGCGCTATCAGTGGCGAAGCCAAGAAATTAAATCAGAGAGGGTAGTTATTAAATACAACATTGAAAATTTTGACAAAAATATTTCGCATAAATTTTTACGATTGACTTCAAGAAAGATAAAAAAATAAAAATAAAATAAAGAAAAGAGATTGTTATTTGTAATTAGTGTGTATCATGGACAATATATATATATATACATAAGTCATGGATATAAAGTTTTAAAATAAATTATATAATGACAAAGTAATTTTTTTACACAAAATATGCGTAAAAATTCAATGTAACAGTCATACCACGTCGTGATTGACATGTGATATCACCAACCAATAGTAAAGAAACACATAGAGGATGAATTCCACATTTCAAATGTAAGTAACAATTCAATAAATTCTATATCTTCATTGCATGTCAATAATGATAGACATCACCATTATATTGAAAATTTCATAAATAATAATATGACTTATCGTAGTCTCTTTATTTTCAATCAAAACAACCATTATTGTTCTCATAATTTTAAAAATGTCATTGACATTTCATTCTAAATAATATTTATATAATTTTTTTTATTTAAAATATTTTCTTGAGGTTTTCCACAAAAAAAAAAAAAAAACCCAAGGGGGCACGTGACCCTCCTAGACGCTCTTTACCTCTGCCCCTGCATGCTATGAACTGATACCACGTAGCGTTGATCACAAAATAAATAGATTTGCATGGTAGCTTTAATAATTTTTTAGATTTGAAAAGTTTGATAAAACTACTTCTAAGGTGTTTTTTCAATACGCAAAGTCAAATTAGGAGGTGACACGTGGTGCGAGTGACCCATGAAAGTGAAGGTGCTTTGTAATTTTATCAAATGTGCTTATTAGATAATGATGTTGGTGGTTTCCTAATATATAGGATTTAGTTGAGAGATATTTTTCCATCAACATTTTTAGTAGAATGTGTTCTTATATTTAAGGAGATGGTTGTTGACTATTATTCCATTTAAACTACTATAAACTACAATCTTGGGATTTGGTTTGTGATCGTTACGATACATGTAATTCATCCACCATTTTCAATTGGCTAGAAAGGCCTTAGTGAATGCGACCCAAGTTGTACCCACAAAAATCGTCTCATACTTTCACCGATAACCAGTGTCTCCCTTTAGTTGGAAACCAGCCAAAACAATCCTCAACTCCTTGTTCTCGACTTTGAGTATATTAAGAGTCTTGGTAATCTGTTCTTACCAGTCTTCTGCCACTAATGATTTAGACACTCCCAAAAAATCAAACGGATTGGAGCGGAGAAACTCCTTAGTAAAATTATGGTTACGTCCATCATCCCCGCATTGCGAGCTAGAGCATCTCTCACCGCTCTTACTATTTCGCATGCAACCTCTTCGCCCACAGTCAATAATGCTAAGGCAGGTGCTAACAAAACTGTTGTGCCCCTACTGAGACTTCTATTCCCCACACGACCTCTATTCCCTCATGTAGGCATCTTATGAAAACCAAAATCCAAAAAACAAACTTAGTGAACATCATAACAGCCTTCCTGAGGCACACACTCACTACCGCTAAGCTACAAGACACACTTAGCATAAAACCCACAATCCTATTGTACATAAGCAATTTAAACACTTAATCACATAATGGAATCAAGTCTACAAGGATAACTACTCGTCTCGGAACTCTTGAGGAATTTTCATAAGAAACTACGTTGATCAAGCGTATTTCCAATATGACCTCAAAACAAGTTCATTGGCTAAAAGCACTATCCATAAAACTTAACCCCATACTCACATAAATCCTAACACTTAACCTAACTACATGTAAACGTCCTCCCCAAGTGAAGAAACCTCATTGTGGTAAAAACCACTTCCTGCGAGTCTAATTATTTAAACCTAGCTTGCTCTGATACCAAGTTGTCACACCCCACCTTTGTGTTACCCAATACATTACCAAATTCATAATTAAAAGTCCATTCAACACTGATATAAATACAGAAGCAATAA